GCTGGCCGAGCTCTACAGCGAGGTGAGCGGGGCGGGGAGCGGCCCTGAGGGTAGTGGACGGCGGTGGCAGGGGCGGCGCCTGAGGGGAAGCGGGGGCGCCTTCTCCCGCGCTCGCTGAGGGGGGCGACGGCCGCCCCGTGAGGGGGAGGAGGAGGAAAGGGGTGACCGGGCCGGGCGAGTAATGCCACGCTCGCCGGAGCCTGCTTGTGGTTTTTGCGGTTTCTGGGGTTGCGGTGGCGGTGCATTAAAACGCTGAGCTGCGTGCGTTACTGTGACAGAGTTTGCTGGCTTGGCCCTGAGGGAGGGAACGTGTCCCCTCTGTGTAAGGGTGCATCACCTGTATCGGACAGCTGAGCGGCTGTAAGATCCCAGGGCAGCATGGGAAAATGCTGCTTCTTTTTGAGAGAAATACTTCTTTTTTGAGTCTTTTGGTCTTTAGGTGTAGGTCTCTGATGTGCTAGCCAGCGGTTAGACAATTTTAAAGTTTTAACAGCACTTCTCTGGCCACTTAAGCCTGGAGTACTGGCTCTTTTTGTTATGCAAATATTGAATATGTTTGGCAGAACTTGGCACTAAAACAAAGATTCGTCCTCCTTAGTGCGGCTGCTGGGGTTTTTTGCACAATTTTTCCCACTTTTCCTGTAGTCACCAGAGTGTTGTGACGTAAAACTTGTTTGCTTAGCTTTAAATAACAAAAATAACATGCATATGTTACTAATTTATAAACCTGTATCTCTTCTATCGCAAAAGCAGCTGCCATAATAAACTCCTATTTAGCCTTGTGCTGCACTGGTATTTATTCATTTGTTGTGTTAGTACCGCACTCTGAGCAGCTGAAAGAACAAATGGGTTTTTTTTTAACGAGGAATAATGTTAGGCAGGTGAAGGGGAGGAAGGAGTGTGGGTGTAACTTGATACGAAAATGAGCAAACTCTCTTGTGTTTACTTGTAAGGCAGGGTTTGGAGGAAGCCAACTTAGGTAGGCTGGGTACATTTGCCAATGGAGGCTCCTGGGAACTGCAGGGACCTTTTCTGAAGAATCAGTACTTTGATCACATGCTTTTTCCTCCCTTTCTTGTCTGTGACCTAGTGTGGTTCACTTTCTTACATGGGAACACGCTATGTGCCCCTGAGGCTATTTGGTGGTGATACTCTTGACTCGCATAGAATAACAGCAAATAAAGAATTCAGTTTAACAGCTGTGAATAGCTAAGTGTTTTTAATAAGCCAGGAAATCAGCGTAGTGTAGGACACAACAGTCAGTTTATACTTGGATACACATGGAAAAAGCAAAGCTAAAACTGATTTCATTTAGCCACGTCTCTCATTTGCCCATTAAATAGGTATTTGTGAAGCTGGGTTTTTCTCCCTTTGGTCAGATAGATGAAAACATTGTAATCATAGTGGTTTGGGGTTGTTTAGAAAAGGTCTTCGTGATTTTGGATATTGCGTGAAAAAATTCCATCGTTCTGAAGGCATCAGCAAAGAGGTATCATGAAAGTGGCTGAGGCTTCAATTAGTGTACATCACCTGACATACACGCCAGGTTGGTGTATGGTTGATCAGAAAGGTCAATCTCCATCCTTAGAGATACTGAAAACTCAACTGGAGAGGTCACTGAGCAACCCAAGCTAACGTGCAGGACGCCCCTGCGAAAGCCCCTCTTACCCTAAATCGTTTGGTGTTGATCTTCAGGGGTTAGG